AACACTACGTGTCTTCCGGAGTATCCTAGATGATAAGGATAACCCACTGAACTGTTTTATATCCTGTCCATTGCATAGTGGCTATGACCTCCGACGAGTTAGACATGTCATGACTTCACATAGCCGTACTAAGAGACATGAACAGTCATTCTTCCCCAGAGCCATTAAGCTGTACAACATGAGCTAAGCGATGAGAACTGATATACATTGTACTTGCTGTTTATATTTGTTCGCTTTTTAGCTGTTTTTATATATGTACAACAATGTCCGTTTTTAATATAATAATGTACCGTTTTAAACGTGTTCCTGAGAGCCCAGTGTTTTTACTGCATTTTGATGTAACTGTCAACGTATTTCATGGCACAAATTTATTTGTACAGGCAAGTTGACTGCAATAAAACTGAAACTAGGGGGACCAAACTCACACGACTTATTCCTGACAGGAAAAGCTATCTGTCACCAAAAAGTCAAGACCATAGCTTGTTCAGGACAAAAGATACAAAAACCGGAAGTTCTGCTGCGGTACCAAGGTCATCCACCAGGAGGCCCATATTTGACCTTGACCTTTGTCTTCCCAAGACTTACCAGCACACCAAATATCATCGCAATCCATAAAAGCGTTCTGAAGTTATGCTGACCACAAAGTTGCGGAAACACACACAGACAGACACACACACAGACATACAGACAGACACGCCAAAAACAATACCTCCATTTTTCATGGAGGTAATAATGTTCTGTGGCTTGTGTCCAAGGATCTCCCATACAAAATTTTAGGTCATTTCGTCTCGACATTATGGCACAGCAGTATAGGTAACTATAGGTAATAGACAAAAAAAACATTTGACACAATTTTTAAAAGCTGCATGTCAACAGTGTTATGGCATTCCATGGGCATGTTTTCAAGGACCCCCTATACCAAACAGGGTACCCACCCTAGCGTCTGCATGAAGGACCCCCCCCCCCCACACACACACACAATTCAAAACAGCGTTTTTTTGCGGCCAGTCCAAAATGCTTCTTAAATGTAGGGTTGCTTCTGAAATATTACTTTGACCACGAAAACAGCTAAATGTAAAAATACAAACCATAGCCCAGCGCATCCAACTAATTAAACCTCTGCCCATTGCACAACGTTAGGTTCCGTGAGTAGAAACGCCCCCTGTACAACTCACATTGAATAGCAGCTACCGACAAATGACGTCTTGGTCGTACATAAACGGCCCTGCGGATGGTTTAATGAGTACATATACATGTATACACAACGATTAGGAGGCCGTTCTATAAGACTATCCACAGTCTGGACACAGCCCCGTATAGCGTGCATCAAGGGTCTTGAGTATTACGGCTTGGCTCACATGAGCGGGAACGCTCGCGGCTACTCAAGGAATGGTGCCGGGGAGTGTCAAACACTACAAGAAAATGAGGCGGCGTTCAAAATGTGAGGGTGTTATTCAGGACTAAGGACAGGCATACTTACCTGTTTCTGAGTGTTTTCAGCACTAAGGACAGGCATTTTTACATGTTTCTGAGTCTTTTCAGCACTAAGGACAGGTCTGTTTACCTGTTTCTGGTTGTTATTCAGCACGAAGGACAGGGATGTTTACATGTTTCTGAGTGTCATTCAGCACTAAGGACAGGCATGTTTACGTGTTTCTGGGTGTCATTCAGCACGAAGGACAGGTCTGTTTACCTGTTTCTCAGCTTTTCAGCACTAAGGACAGGTCTGTTTACGTGTTTCTGGGTGTTATTCAGCACTAAGGACAGGTCTGTTTACCTGTTTCTGAGTGTCATTCAGCACTAAGGACAGGCATGTTTACCTGTTTCTGAGTGTCATTCAGCACTAAGGACAGATCTGTTTACGTGTTTCTGAGTGTCATTCAGCACTAAGGACAGGCATGTTTACATGTTTCTGAGTGTCATTCAACACTAAGGACAGGTCTGTTTACGTGTTTCTGGGTGTCATTCAGCACTAAGGACAGGTCTGTTTACCTGTTTCTGAGTGTCATTCAGCACTAAGGACAGGCCTGTTTACGTGTTTCTGGGTGTCATTCAGCACGAAGGACAGGTCTGTTTACCTGTTTCTGAGTCGTCATTCAGCGACTAAGGGACAGGCATGTTTACGTGTTTCAGGGTGTCATTCAGCACGAGGACAGGTCTGTTTACTTGTTTCTGAGTGTCATTCAGCACGAAGGACAGGTCTGTTTACGTGTTTCTGAGTGTTTTCAGCAATAAGGACAGGCATTTTTTACATGTTTTCTGAGTCTTTTCAGCACTAAGGACAGGTCTGTTTACGTGTTTCTGAGTGTCATTCAGCACTAAGGACAGGTCTGTTTACCTGTTTCTGAGTGTCATTCAGCACTAAGGACAGGTCTGTTTACGTGTTTCTGAGTGTCATTCAGTACAAAGACAGGTCTGTTTGCGTGTTTCTGAGTGTCATTCAGCACTAAGGACAGGCCTGTTTACGTGTTTCTGGGTGTCATTCAGCAATACCCAGAGAATCGATGTTTACTTTAATACAAGAAGACTCAAACTCACAATTGGTCACCATAACATTGAATCTTTATTACCCATAGTTATACACTTCGGCTAAATGCGGTCTTCTAACATCCAGTAATCATTCAGTTCATCAGGTAAGTGTGACTTCCACGATAAACTAAACAGGAACTGAAGCATGACGACAACTCTCATTTCTCACCATGTCGAATACCAGTATTAATAAATAAATAAATAAACATATTTAAGTATGAGTTACAAATGGCTCCTAATCATATGGGATTAACACAGATGAATACAATGTAATGTGTCTCGGCTGACAGTGTCGAATGGACCAGGCCTAGTGTTGGTAACCGTGTATGATGTCCAACAAGTACTCCCTACATGTATCCCTCTAATCAGGATATTGAAAAGTGAAAGATTGAAGTTCTGTTGGCTCGGCCATTGAACCTAGTCTAACACGAAACACGTCCGACTAATAGATTAATACAAACTACCTTGAAAGTGAAGACAGTCACCTGGAATGTAGCTGAAACCGATGAATTGATGACTATTGTCAAATGTTACATTGAAAAACATTAGATGACAAATTCACGTGGCACTTCTAAGAACTTTTTCTCAGTAAAAATATCTCCGAGCTACTGCATGCAAAATGGTCATTTACATCAATGGCTGCCACCTTACAAAGGCTATCATTATTTCAGACATGTTTACGTCCGACTGTACACCGGTTTATTATTACTAGTACTTAGGAACTTGTAATGTTAATTTACAATTCCATACAACAGAGAAGAAGACTTTTAGGGCTATATCAAAGATCATTTTGAATGAGCCAGTCTCCGAGTTTTTCTACCACCACGGCGCACTGCTCCGGCAGGATCGGCTCTGCGTACAGCGCCATCACCATAGCTGTAACAAACAACAACAACTGTCATTATCATAGCTCTAAACACAAACAACAACAACTGTCAGGAAACTACATCATGTTAGGAGGAAAGGAACCCATACACACTCACAAACACACACACGCTCACACCAACACACATACGTACACACAGGCGCACACACATACATACGCGCGCACACACACACATACACACACACGCACGCACGCAGATACACACACACGCAGATACACACACGCACACACACACGCAGATACACACACACGCACACACGCGCAGATACACACACACACACGCAGATACACATACACACACACACACACGCAGATACACGCACACACGCGCAGATACACACGCGCAGATACACACACGCACACACACACGCAGATACACACACGCACACACACACGCAGATACACACACACGCACACACGCGCGGATACACACACACACACGCAGATACACATACACACACACACACACACACACACACACACACACGCAGATACACACACACACACGCAGATACACACACACGCACACACACGCAGATACACACACGCGCAGATACACACACACGCGCGCGCGCAGATACACACACGCACACACACGCAGATACACACACGCACACACGCGCAGATACACACACACACACGCGCGCAGATACACACACGCACACACGCGCAGATACACGCACACGCACACACATGCAGATACACACACACACACACGCACACGCGCAGATACACACACACGCACACACACGCACACACACACGCAGATACACACACACACGCAGATACACACACACACGCAGATACACACACACACGCACACACGCGCGAAGATACAAACACACTCACCTGTTTTAGTTTTCACTATGTGAACTCCTTGCCTGTCCTTCTTTCCCCTGATCAGCTTATCGTCCCCACTCAGATAGATGTACTTTGTTCCTCCTATTCTAATCCCATCTGTAATATGATGTATACACATGGTTAGTCAGATATACTGACCATATAGTATCACAGCAGACACTCGCTAAAGTATATTCCAGATCATTGATACATTGGTGAAGGTTAATCATCCAGGATAAAGATAAATTGAAAAAGCCGTTGAATTTGGATAAATTGAAATTTTAATACGTAAACGTTTCAAGTACCATCCGGTACCTTTCATCAGTACAAATGAAGAGGAAATTTACGGAACAAGAATTAATAAGAATTAATAAGAATTAATTCTTGTTCCGTAAATTTCCTCTACATTTGTACTGATGAAAGGTACCGGATGGTACATGAAACGTTTACGTATTAAAATTTCAATTTATCCAGTCAGAAAAGATTCAACGCACACACACATTTTCAATTTATATTCCAGATCGTTTTAACTGGGCCCAAGTTTTACAATGCACACGTACACACACACACACACACACACACACACACACACACACACTAATAGTAAACGTTAAGAAAACGTCATAATATTTGCATCAATGTTTTTATTTAGCATTTTCCTGTTTTGCCGAAGGTGGGCGGGGCTATGAGATCCTCTGTCGCGTCTCAGGGGCATTCAGCTGTGAATGGGCATGCGCATTGACACTGGGCATGTGTACTCGTAGTTGTGAACTTCCTTATATACACAATAGTTTTTCCCATCACCAAAAGCCTGCCCAAAGTAAGTAGTAAGCCAAACGTCATGTGATGTGAATGCGGCAACTTACTTGCAGCTAACACCTCGTCCTTGCTGAAGGATCTCGCCAGTGCGGCAACTTCGTCTTGTGACAGCTGTGAATGAGACATGGAAGATGTGACAACTAAAACAACATACATGTAGATGACAACAATATTAGTTAAATCACGAAAGACGTCACAAGTTATAATCTACAAGGTTAGTCTAACCGTCGATCCTTCACACCAGCGCAAGCGCGGCGCGACAGCAGCTGGCTATTTAATACACTCACATCTCAACAAACAACAGAAGACCATATTACTGCTTAAGTCTACCGACCCATTTATATTTCAAAAAGTCGGACAATTCAGCCTCCACTGCCTCCAGACAAAATGTCAACCCCCTTATAGCTTGACTGTCTTTCAAGGATATTATAATAGAATAGAATAGTAATTACCATGTTTCTCTTCTCTCCTATGTATTACATACCCACTCTATGTCACGTATACGTACGTTATTATTTTTAAGAAGAGATAGAAAGTTAGATTAGTAGATAGTAGAACTTCATATTAGCATATAGTTTCTTACAACTCCTCAATACATTCTGTTCTCATTGTTCTTGCCAATGTCTGTTTGCAATTAGCCATTGGGAATGAACTTGCAATAAAGAAATATTTAATACACGGAACGACCTGACATGCCCTTAAATGTTGCACTCATACGTACTTTAGTCTCACACCAAGGGTAAATTAACATCAAAGGTGGGCATCTGCTGCCTTCCGGAAATTTTTTATATAAGTGAGGCCGTGTTAATGTTCATCAGATATGACAACAGCTGGAATAATATCTAACGCCGTAATTGGGATTTGTAGTGCCTGGCCGTATGAATCAACACCCGGGTCCGACTTTCCTATTCATCTCGCCATCTGTTGTGTAACACGTGTGGTTCCGTCCGTGAAGATCAGGGCTCATCACCTTTATCTCAGTACATTTGTACTACCGAAGGGCGACACCAACACACAGGCACCCTCGGCCCATTTCTGTCCAAGTGTTCGTAGTGTCACTTTTTTTTTTAATTCCCAAAGTACTACTGTCCAAAGAACTTGTTCAAGCAGAGGGGAAGGAGAGATTCGTCTGATTTATCATTCAGTGGTACCTATTTTCTGACCGCCGGTCTATCAGTAAAGGTGGTATTTTAATTTAAAAAAAAAACTCTCCCTTTAAATTTAATGGCGCCTTGTGCAGTAGTCATCCTAAATGCAGTTGAATCTGAACCATAGGGCCTGGCACATTCAATAAAGATATAGACATAGAAACAAAATTGGCCCAACACTGTTTTTGTGAAAATTCCAAACACCATCCATGAGCGACAGTCAAATTCTTCCAATTGTTTTCTTGATCCGAAAATGACAAAAGTACATCTGGGTCAGCGGACGTGTCAGACCAAATTTGGGAGAACCACTATCCCTCCCACAGGGAGTATGCCTACATGTGTGGTCAGCTGTTAGGGCACCCTGGGAAGATATGAGTTATACTTATGGAGTAAGCTTTCTCGGAAATGTTTCCATGACCAATACAAGCCTCTGATGTTTCCAGGACCAATACTAGTGTCCAAAATGATTATGTTCCTCGATAATTATGCAAATAAATCGTCATTGCAATTTTCACTATTAAATTGTACCATTCTCATTATCTATACAAATTAAGCCATCTTGACTTTATTAAATAGTGCTATCATGAAAAGAATCAGATTCCTACAATTTCTTCAATAATTACGCAAATTAGATCCTGGTTTATATAATTGCCATCTTGTATGTCCAAGCAAGACCTACATACTGAAAATCACGACGATCTATCGACCGGTTCTTGAGTTATACTTACATATTTTTCAACGAACTGCTGTGGGGTCACTTCTTCCCAAGCACGAAAACTACCTGAAGTCCGAAATTCATGACCCTATGTCCAGATTACGTGATATCAAAACTAGACGTTCCGCTGCAGTATTATAACACGCCGCACTTCAACAAGAACAAGACCTACCCACCTACCTAGTATCAATACATCTAAGCCTTCTCGAGTTATCGTCACACACACACACACAGACACACACACGCGCGCGCGCGCGCACACACACACACGAACACTACCGAAAACATATCCTTCCTGGCGAAGGTAACAAGCCTGCTCTTGACCTTCTCTAGACGTAATGATCCGGCGGCGCCGTCGAGAGAGGTTGTATTTTCTGAGATAATGCCTGGTCAGGTGCGATAACCACCGAATAAACTACAGGTGAGCGCAGCGAACGAGGTGGTTTATTCGATGGTTATCGCACCTGACCAGGGATTATCTCACCATATACACCGAGGATAAGGCGGGGTATTAACGTTATCATCATATAGCCTATCCAATTGACACAGTTATCTGACACAAATTCCTTGTCATAAAATTCCTCCATTGCCGAACTATCACATTCTAGTATGTTACATGAAACAAGCTTAGATGGATTGTCTTCATATTTGTAGGTGGGTATGTCTTGAGACCGCGAAATGATTGGGTTTGCGGACCCCCGGAGGCTTGTTATGGTACTGCAGCGGAAACTCCGGTTTTGATGTACATTGTATCATGATCTGGACATGCTAGGGGCACAGATTTTGGATGGTAGATAAACTTTGTGCTTGATTTCATGACATTAGTATCGTTTTCCAATACATTTTGTTGCAATATACGACATATATTTGCTCATTTTGTACGATTTACAGTATGTTCGAAAACTTTTTGGGACGAAATTTCATGCGCGCGCGGATCCATGTAATCAAATCAATAATTGATCAGTAGTAGCTATAATTCCCTAGCAGGAAATTTGTTGACATAAAAATGCCATTGAGTAGAGAATATGATCAACGGACATAATTCATGCAAATGAGTAATGCATAATCAATGAGAAACATTTATAATTCGTCAGTCGTAAAGGTCGTGCGAGGGTATGAGATCGTGGAACTCTAGTTATTATGTGTTGTTTTATTGTAGTTCCTTCGTCCGAGACTCGACAGCTATGAAAATATGTCCTACCAGCTGTTATGAATAAATCCCTCCTTTACTACTCATCTAGCTCCGTATGATATTTGATTATCTGGTGTGTAATCAACGGCTTTCGAGCCTTGTTAGAGATTGACCTTGGCTATACGAGTTAGAATAAGAAAAGGCAAGAAACTGGCGAATATTGAAACACAAAAAAGTTTCTGACGGTTTTTTCTAGTTTTCCCGCTTCTTGTGCCAAAGTTTCAAAGTACAAGTAGTCGAGAAAAAGACTGTCAAATGTCAGACTGTGTGACAATTGCTGAATGACGTTTTTCACTTCACCGGTACCGGTACATGTATGTATGTCAACTGTTTGTAGGGAACAGACAGCATAGCTTGTATAATTATACAAATGTAGCGGGAACTACTGACCGCTCTACTGTAATCTTTGTAGGGTTTGATTTGACGTTTTAGGCAGAAGACCTCACCGGAATACGCCAAATCGTCATGCGATAGTTTTATAAGCTTGGCGCGGCTTCCAATGATTCATCCCGGCTGCATGGCCGATGATAGAGGAACGTCCGGATCAGTTACTCACCAAGCCTATGCAGAGGTTTAGGCGTCGACTTATTTTGACGTGTTCTGGGGCATTTTATTAGGCTTTTATTGGTATCTTTCATCACGCCAGCCAAATTGAAATAAAACTGTCTATATACGAAAGCCCTAAAACACAGAAACGCCTAAAACACGCCAAAAATAAGCCGAACCCTAAACCTCTGCTTGGAGACTACAGATCAGTAGGAACAGGTGCAGATCAACACCATAGCTGTACCACTGGGACGGCTGTTGTCAATGAGGCTATACAAAACTTCCAGACAAAGCACTATACTAGCTAAGTCCATGCCGTTATCACATTCGTACTTGGTCTGGAGACAGATGCTAATATTTTTGTGACGTCCTGAAGTGACTGGACTGTTGAGAGTTGATACTGAATGCCGGCATGGGGACCACGTGGTCGCGGACATGGCGACATGACTATAAACGTCTCGGAGCGGACACAGAACTGCGACACGGAATTTCGCGGACACTAAATAAATCTACACTGGGTCACAACACATGAGTTCTGTCTTTGCCGCGTAGTTTAAGCTCAGATTAGACAACAGTGAAATTCTACGTGCGATAAAACAGACACTGAATTCAATCTACCTCCAGCCCGCTGGATTTGGCCCAAATGCTGCCGTCCAGGCCACAAATCGCCGCCATGGTGACGCACTGAGTCGCCACCAAATGTTGATCGACATACTGCTGCCAGCT